CCCCAAAACCCCAAAACCCCAAAACCCCGTCTGCATTAATTGATTCAAAAAAGCAAGTCTATTTAAATTTTAGGAAAAAGTTGTTAGAAAATTCAGGAAAACTAATTTAATAAGAAAATGTAAGATTCAGGTTTCGAAGGTGGTGTCTACGAAGTCACCATAGTTTCAGCAGATTTAAGACGCTACGATGAGTCAACTTTAAAAATTGAACCATTTGTGGTCGCAGAATTCATTGATCAAAAGTTTTAGACTGATGCTGTTGAAGAAGGAGGTCAAAATCCAGTTTGGAATCACAGTTTTCAGATCACAGTTAACAAGGAGACATTAAAGGATACATTAGCACTTGCGATCATGGGCAAGGACGCAACAAGCGATGACATAGTGGGAAATACTGTGATTTAACTCAAAGAGATTTTACCAGAAGACGGAATTTAAAAAGAAGGTCATTATGAAATTCACTATGGAGGTGAAGATGCAGGATCGGTTATTATATAGACCAGATATATTGAACCGCTGATTTCTTATGATTTTGTGCCCTCTGTTTTAACTTTGAAAATTAACGAAGGTATAATCTCAAGGGAGCTAGATAACATTGCGAATTCAAGTTCCTATCTTAAAATTGAACATAATGGTGTAATTCATAGGACAAAAATTCATAAGAATGGAGGAAAAAGGCCTATTTGGGATTAGTAGTTTGATCTCGTTGTTCAAGATTTGTAAGAAGATATTATCCTTAGCATTATTGATGAGGAGCTAGGAGAGACTAATCCGATATGTGTAAGACAATTAAAGGCTCGTCATATTTTCAAACCCAGTAAGATCCATTACGACTGGATAGGATTTTAATATGAAAGTGAAAAAGTTGGGAAAGTAAATATGGAATTCACATTCAGGGATATCATCCCTAAAACTTTAGATCTTGCAAGTGTGGGCGAGATTTAAATCAGAGTGAACTATGCGAGTTTCGATAACCAAGATAGCTCACTTGAAATAATCCAGCCCAGTGTTTCTATTGAATATGACGATTAAGTTTTAAATACATCCGTTCCATAAGAAAGTCCAAGTACAACCCCTCTTTGGAATGAGGTCTTATAATTTAAAGTAAATGACCTATCTCTGGATATTCTAATTAAAGTTTAAGACGAAGATCCGAATCATTAGCAGTTACTCGGATAGAACTCAGTAAAACTCTAAGAGCTTATTTAAAATCATGTCGGCTTATATCCCCTTTTCCTCGAGGAGTAGTAAGTTGGCCTTATCTATCTGGAGGTAGAATATCTGGAGATTGCGAGTGGTCAGGATGAAACAATGAAAGAGAGCATGAAATTATCTGCAGTTAAATAGTAATCATCTTTTAAAGACAACTAGACTGTTTATGACTAGACTATTCTTGTCTAGAACTAAGTTTAAGACGATCAGATGCTAACACTTTCTGAGCATAATCACATGTCAACAGTTGTACACAATGGCAAGCACAGCTAGATTGAAGAAGAATAGAGGTTGAATCAATCTTCAGTCAGAGCTGATACTGTTCTGCAAAACTATCAGTACGGAATCGTCACTGATGAGAGTGATCATCTCTTGCTCTCCTCTGGAAATCTCGGTCAGACCTTGATAAATCCTTTCAGTCAGCCTATAATAGAGGAGTAGGAGGATGAAACAAAGCTCTAAGAGGAAGAAGATCTTGCATAAAAAGAAAATGGAGAGGATGAGAATATGTAAGAAGATGAATAAGAGCCAGTGTAATAACAAGAGGAAGAGGAGTATTAGGATCAAGCGTTTGAAGATGCCTAGGAGGAATAGGACTAATAACAAGAACCAGAAAATGATCAACAATAGGAAAATGAGTACTAAGACGAATTCCAATAGGAGGAGCCACCCCAAGAAGAGGCTGTGGAAGAGCCTCCTTAAGAAGAAGCTGAGGAAGAGCCTCCACAAGAAGAGGCTGCGGAAGAACCTCCTCAAGAAGAAGCAGGAGAGGAGGCAGCTTAAGAAGAGCCTCTGGAAGAGGAACCTTAAGAAGAAGCTGGGGAAGAGCCACCTTAAGAAGAGGCTTTGGAATAGTTAGCGCAAGAAGAATAAAACGCTGCTGATGAAGAGGAGTATAAACAAACAGAGGAAGAGTACTAGGACTAGGTTGATTAAGATCACCAATAAGTTGAATTGATGAGCATGAGAAGTATGAAGAGCATGAAAAGCGTTTAAAGCATCAAGCAAACTATGATGGGCACAAACAAATCACTCAAGAGTCTTAAGTAAAGTGTCAAGAGTCTTGATAAGAGCATGAAAAGTTTGAACTAAAGCATAAAAAGTGTAAAGAATTCTGAGCAAAAAAATCAAAGTATACTCTAGAGTATCAAGAAATCGGCGAAGGATAATACAAGTTTGTACCAGAGTATTAAAAAATCAGAATATGACATGATGAGCATAAAGTAAGAAGAGCTAGACCAGCCTGAGGAGTTAAGGAATACCTTCAAGAGTCAGCTAAGTATGTCTTAGAGAAGTGCTATCAACAGAACAGTAAAGAGCCAACTCGATAAACAAAGTACTTTGTAAAAGGTGAATGAGGATCTAGGAGATAATATCTCAAGAAATACTAATAATAATCAGATAAGATCAACTATTTTCAATCAGAGCTTGAAGAGTGTCAAGAGTATAAAGTCTATAAAGACAATAAAAACTATTAAAAGTGTAAAGTCTATTAAATCAATCAAGAGCGTCAAGAGTTTGAACAATGGTCAAGCAGAAGAGGGTCATGCTGAAGTTGCTACCTCAGTCCACGATGCTGAAAAGCAATCAAATCTTGAAGATCTAAATGAAAGAGCCAATGAAGAGGATGAGAACTAATTGTAGGAGTAATAAGATGCAGAACAATAACAGCAAGAATAGGAGGAGTAGCAATTGCAACAGGAGCCAGAGTAGCAAGAATAAGAACAAGAGTAGCAGGAATAGGAGCCAGAGCAAGAATAGCAATAAGAAGAGCCTGAATAAGAGTAGGAACAGCCATAGCTAGATGAAGGATAAGAGGAACAATAAAATGAGGAGGGTCCAAATGAGTAATAAGAAGAATAATAAGAGAAGGAGGAAGATTAGCAAGAGCAGCAACACTAGGAAGAATAGCAATAGGAAGAGGACTAGCAAGCTGAAGCTGAAAATCAATCGCAGCATGAGAGTGATGTCAAGTTCAATGAATTGAATCTTCATTAATAGAAATCAATCGTTCGTAAAGACTCAAAGCTGTCTTCTATAAAGTTAGATGATAACGAGCAAGAGTAAGCTGCATAAGAGCATTATGAAGATTAGTAGCAAGCATTCAGAGAGAGTAAATCATAGTCAGAGCTCAATCGAATTCTTGCAGAGAGAGAAAATGAGGAGAAGCTCAATTAGAGCATCAATAATAATAGATTCCCACCACTACAGCAGGAAATTCCCTTCTAATACAAAACTATAGATGTTGATAAGAAGATCGACTTTTATGGAAAGAAAAACTCTCTCGGTGCCACCACTTCTCTAAACAGCACTTAAAACACCTTTAAAAACACTTTAAAGGTTATTAAGCGAGATTAGTCAGCCTAATAGCTTACAGAACTGCCACCAGTGCATGCTATGATGTTTAACAAGCAAAAGAATGACTTGAAAATGATCAGGAATATGTCCCAAAAAAAGTTCCTCAAGCCTCTCAAGAAGTCACAGTAGAAATGGGATGAAACTTTCACTACTGTTTCTCTTAACAACAAAGTAGGAGCACATCCTTACTATAGAGTAAGTATCATAATATTTAGATGAATGTTTCATTAGGTATTCTTTGACAAGCCAAGCAAGAAAACCCCAGATACTATATTCAGAGATCATCCTAATTCTAGAAGCAGATCCCCTTAGTACAATGAAAGACTATTCGATACTTAGACTAGTTTCAACAAGGCCAAGAAGACCTATGCCAATTGGGATGAGTACTTCCACTAAATGCAGAGCAAGGACAACATTAAGATCCACAAGCACTTCAAAGAATTCTTTGACAAGCCAGTTAACTACAGTCCTAAACATCAACCGTAAGTTTTAAGAATATAGATATGATTTGTAACTGAAATTTATAGATTCAAGGCACCACAGCCGATGGAAAATTATCAACCTCTGTCAAAGAGAAATTCTTAAAACAACACTCCTACAAGAGTGTCAACTGAGAGGAGGAGTCATGAGAGGATCAAGAAGATCGATACAAACAGATACCTTAGCAATAGATCTCAGAATTCTGGAGTCATGAGAAGCGCTGTCAGCAAGGACAGAGGCGTTGGTGGTAAGACCATGAGATATGAAGAAAGAGAGAACAGAATTTCCAAGAAGTACGGCAGAAATGCTGTTGAATCAAGAGGAAATTTATTCTAATGAAAAGGGCCTAACGAGCACCATTCCTATAACTGAATTCGAGTGATTTAGATCATGAAAAATCTTATAGGAAAACCCATAATTGACATATCAGTTAAAGCTTAGCCTTTAATTATTAATAAACTTTAGTAACAAATTTGAAAATAGCAATCTTATTAAAATTAATAGGACTTTGAAATCTTATAATAATTTTCACATTATATATTTGTCATATCTATACCTTATCTTGCAATCAGGGGTTTTGGGGTTTTGGGGTTTTGGGG